GCGTCTACCTTGTATATCTACCTTGCTTAAGTGGCCCACACACGTCAAACATGTGCGTTCGATCGGTGTGAATCGAAGCAATGTTTGACGTGTGTGGTACGGTGTTCACACCGATTTGCCGGTGCGCACACCGATCGAAAGAAATTAAAAATTTTTAATTTTTCGTTGTGCGACGCGCACATGTTTGACGTCTGTGGCCTGGTGTGTGGATATTTTCTCATTTGTTGAGAAATTTCGTGGAGTGCGGATCAGCGGACAAATGCAATACATATGTATTTGGAAGATTTTTTGATATTTTTACACATATTCTACTGTGTGCCAAATAAAAATGTTTTTTCCCGGAATAAAGTAAAAGTATTTAATACATTTATATTAAATAAAAATATTTCATCTTTTTTCCGTCATCACTATCGCGGTCCAAAAATCTTCACGCTTCAAAAATAAATATGAAATGAAGTTTAATGGATCCGTTTGACGTGTGTGGGCTAGGAGCTTCACACCGATCGAACGCACATGTTTGAGGTGTGTGGCCTACCTTGCTTAGGGACCTTCAGGCCGAAAATAGGATAGAAGAGGAGAAATAGAGAGAATACAGGATAAAAAATAATCAAAGCAAAACAGACGATAAGCAGCAATGTCGAGAAAGGAAGCGAGCTGGGAGACGATTTAATAGTTAAGGGTTTTAAGTAGTATTTCTACAAAACATTCCATCAACATGGATGACGTCGATCTCCAACTGAACTTTGCTATGTGCTTCGACCATTTCCAACACAATGAGTCCACAAAAGACGAACAGTACAAGACGCCACTTAATAGCAAAGACAATTCGCCCAACAATGAATCGGAAAGCATAGAAGTGGTCGAGACACCGAGCAATCCCTACAAAGGTCCACTTCAGGAAAGTACAATCAGTTCAGCCAGTACCAACAACACAGACATTTGTGTCTTGGACTCGCACTACGCCAATGACGATTTACACTTCTTGCCCGACGACAACATCGATGACCAGGAATTTTTAGAAAGTGAAGATGGAGATGAGGTATTTCTTAGAGCGGCTGATGTTTCGGAGGACAATGGGGATTTTACTCTCCTTAGGAAACCGGTTAAGTCGAGACGCATGTGTAATTGTGACGAATCGACTGAAGTTCTTATGCTAATAAACTCGGAATACCAGGACAAACGTAAGCCCACATATTCTGGAACGGATTCGGATGTCGAGGTGTTAATGTCGGAAGAAGTTGTGGAGTCCGACTGGTCATCGGGGAATAATGACCATAAGGACGAAAAGTCGTTGACATTTGAAGCTGAACCGGATAGTAAATTTGAGGAGGGAGACACATCACACAACCAATTGTCAACGGATTCCAACATATCTTGCGCGGAATTGGGTGCAAATTCTGAAAACAACAAATATGCGAGTTTGGACAGAGCACAATTACTACAAATAATACAACAGCAAGAAGAACGGATCCAAGCGTTGGAAGCAACTGTGGAACAGTATCACAAAGCCCAAGAAAGATTGTTTGAACACGTCGATGCGCTCCGTTTGGAACTCAATGAAATTCGAATAACGCCGATTCATAAAGGGAATGGACACAAATCTGCACAGTAGATTAGCCGAAAATGTCTCAACGCACGTTTATTTTGTAATATTATTCATAAGAACCCCTATTTGTCTAAAGAAGACCCAGTCTACCTTTTTTTAATTTGCTTTTTATTATCTAAAAAAATTGTTAGTGCATAATATATATTTATATTTGCACCATATATATATATAGTGATCTCACATACAATAAAAGTGTATTTGCCAATATGGAAAATATTGTTGTGATAACTGGTTCCTCCTAATGTCAGTCTGCTTTTTCGGCCTAACATCTTTTGAATTTATATCAAAAATGTGTCAATTAGATTTAACAATTGCGGACAACCGCATTCTGCCGATTTTACTATAAAAGACAACTTTGAAAATGGACCAATTGACAGAGTGATGTAACTTTTTACCAGCATTTGCTGGACACTCTTGCCATAATTTCATTTCCAGAACAATTGTAAGGAAAAAATATTGCTGGGGTGATTCCAATTGTTCGTCTTTGCTCTGTGAATATAGAACGTTCGGAATTAATATGCATAACATTATTAACTTAACATACTTGCAATTTTTAAAGAAATTTTAATCCGGTAAATTTATTGAGATATTCCAATAGTAATTGACAACATTGCCTTCTCTGTTATGGGAATATAAATATGTTTTAGTAAACAAGTGTGTATGATGTTCTTGAAAGTAATTTTGTAGGCGTTAGAAGACCTACGTATTTCCTACCTATTGAACTTAAGAAAATATCCAATTGTGCTAACCTGATCTCTGGATCGAACATTGTTTTAGGCGGAACATTTTTTTTAAATCGTAATTTGTCATTAGATACATATTACTTAAACGGCATATACATTAGAACTTTTTACCGGGTTAACCTTCTCCGTGAGGATTTATTTTACATATATGTAATGGAATTGATAATTTAGATTTTCTGGATCTAATAAATGCGGTACAATGTAAACGTATTATTAGGCTGTTAAGGGAGAAACACATACGCAAGATCAATCTATAAAGGTCATCAAAATATATAAAATCCAAAAAAAACCATAGTTAGCTTTGACAAAGCTATCGAAAAAATTTTCAATTTTTTTAAATTTTTGTCTTAAAATACACAAAATGCTTATCGAATTTGATGAAAAAGCAATTATTAATAAAAATAAAAGAAATGCCATAGTGGGGAAGTAGAATATTTTTGTACGCTTCGTTGGAATTTAGGTAACGTTGTTATTAGCTTTGCCATTAAAAAAGTTCTCGAACAGACCAATTAAGTTGACCTTGTTCAATGTAAAATAATAAAGGAGAACGGTGTCCAAAATTAAGAAATATTCTGATATTCCTTTATAAAATGACATTTCATACAATGCCAACTTAACATGCCATGCCTGAATCCTCGTATGTGTTTCCCTCTTTAGTTTTCGATTTGTTTTTTTAAACGGCTAAATTTATTTTAGTTCAGGGAGAGGGTGCGATAACATATGATTCTTTCCGAATTTAAATAAATATATTGTGTTTTTTAGTTTAGGAAACCTATTTTTAAACCATGAAAATCAACATAGCATCACGTAATCTCTCGTCACAGTTTTTACTGGAATGAAGCTGTAGTAAACTGGAGAAAAATATCGGCGCATAACGTACGCATTTAGGTAGAGCACTGACAATTGTCAACAGCACACACTTGTCGGCTTACAAATCCCTGTTTCATTCTCATATAGATACAAACAGAGCAAAGTGAGCATAGCCGTATCGTATTTTTCAAGTTTTTGTGAAAATAAAATAAAAAAAATAAGATTAGAAAACCATTGAAATATAAAAATTGCAGATAAATAAAATATCAAACATTATTCCAACGTCATACAGGCAGGTAAGATTTGTTTTTTTTTCCGTTTTTTTTTGTACGGAGCTATTTTTAGATTTAGATACATATTGGGAACAAAGAATAATAGGTCTAACCTCAAATGCATCTGCCAGCTTCAAACATTCTTTGAAAGATGTCATTTTCCAAAAAATAATAAAAATGACTCATATTTTGTTTTGTTGTTTTGAGGCAGAATTGTTTTATAACAATTTGCCAATTTGAAGGACACATTGATTTCCGGTATATGTGGTAAAATGTAATTATTAATATATTGTACGAATTCAATTCATTTTATATACTATATATTCTTAAATGTTTTCTTGCGTGTATATATATTTGGTATACTTCGAGTTCGAAATGGCGAACATTTTGTCAAACCACACAAAACCAAACACCAGTGTTGTGAGAAACGAATAACGTTTTCTGTTACAGGACAGGGGGTCTATATTAATATTTTAGTCTTCGCGCTTTTGTATATAAAAATGAGAAATATTTAGTTTTGAGGATATATTAGGATTCACTTTCTGAGTCTATTTTGTAAACAATATCGCATTTATTATTTAGTTGTGATGAAATTTCAAAGAGAGATTGTTGTTTCCGTACCGCTTCCATCTACATTTTCGTGCACCATCGAGGCAACTGTATCAAATGGAAGTGGATTTCGATATAGTTCCCAATATGAATTGTAAAGCACTATTTTATTTGTGGCAATTCTTAGAATTATTTCTTGTTAACTCGAGCTGTGCTACCGTGACCATATGGTCACACTCATAAGATGATCAAAAATCATCTGGTGTGAACTACTGATAAATATCCCACTGATGATTTGTGAGATGCAATTGATCAAATTTTCGGATTCAATGGCCCACAATCTAGAGACGCTGAAAGTTTCGTCCCAAAATACAAAAAAAATAATAATTACAGCACTATTCGGGTTAATATCCTAAATAGGACATGAACAAAGATTGATGTCGCTACATCCTTCCATTCGGGAGATACAGTACATTTGTTCCGAAAAATAAAAGGCCAATATCAAGAAAAACAATTGCAATATGATTGAACTAATACATGTTATTATTCGTTAGGAACTTTTTTACAAGAGATAATTTTAAGAGAACAATTCGAACGCGAAGGAATTTAAATAATTTGGACAGAATACATAAATTAGTAATGTACCCATAACTTGACCAAAATACGCATAACTTGACCCATTAACTACATAGTTGAGATAAACATAATGTAAATCAAGATTTATTTCACGGTGAAAATGTAAGTTATTTCATAAATCGACATACAAACTATTTGTAGTGTTGAAAACTACCTATATTGACAAGGTGCAACACTTTTGCTTAATAAAGGAACTAAGCTTGATGAAATTTTACACTGGTAATTAATGTTATACACATTAGGAGCACTTACCCTACATCTAATTTCAAAAAAATCTTATATGTTTTAATGCTAAGCAATTTTTTGTTATTTTCTCTAAATAAAATATATATTTATATCTATTTTTAGATCCGTCTTACAATTCCGAACAACTAAAGCCAAATCATGGCGTCAACCTTATGCAAAATACACGTAAACAATTCGACAGGTGTATCTTTAAATGAGCGCTTTACCGCCATAACAACACAACCTAAAGTTTCCGTTACACCTGCCCGTAGTCGCAGTCGAAGTGTTGAACGAGCAATGCCTCGTGTGGATCAAGCAACATCAAGAGCCAACCAACGCCTATTGGCTGAATTACAAAGGAAACATAAATTGCAAGCAGCCATGAAATTGAAACGAGTACGTTTTCCAAAAACATTACTTTACATCCTAACCTATGAAATGACAACGTAAATGCTTAAAATCGCTTGAATGGAAATATACTTTCCTGCGAAAAAGATTTCAATCCTTTTAACGGGCTAATGAAATGTTGAAAGATATTAACATTCCACAGAAGTTGGAGCTTGTTGCCTCAGAAAGCCTAGAAACCCAATTCTATTAATATTTTACACTTTTCATGACAAAGCAGTACGTAAGGGAAGATGTATTTAAATTTCTTAAAATGTTGCTGAGGAGTTAAGCCTGTGGTTTATTAGCTCTTGGCATGCTGATTTCTCCACTAGCTACAAATAAGACCAATTAATATAAAGAAGTTAAAAGTTAAAGAAAATAATACGCTCGAATCAAAATTATTTCGAATACCCGATAACGTCGATATCTGCGTGAGTCTGACATCAAATCAATAAGTACATTGCAGTACAATACTATTGACATGTGCCGATATTATAATTAGGAACTAGTTATCATTTTAACATCGGTTAAGAATACGATTTGAGACGACACCAATCAATACAAAAACCAACTACAAAATAAAAGCAATAGGGCTTCTACAACAACAACAACTACAACATAAATCAATACCTTATATCCGTCATTACCGTTATCAAACAAATCAAGAGATATTTTAAGAAAGCTCCAGTCAGCGTTCAGTGTTCTTTGGTCACAACAATAAGCCAACCACAACATAGAGCAATTCCTAGCAATCGTCATGAATGTATCCGACTTCTCTGGAGACCTATATAATAATGTCACATTCTACGTTCAGTGCATTTTTGGTGTAGCAGTACTTACAACGGTTTTTGGTGTTGGATCTGAGAAAACTAAGCGGAATATCAACATTAAATTATTTCTGGATTAACAATAAGCCTCACATAATAGTATGCTGTACTCAAATATGAATTCTTTCCTGCTTCAATTTTTCTCTTTGTTGGAACGAAGTTCTTTTTATAACTGAAAGGGATGAACAGCAAAACAATCTTAAATTTCAATAGTTGGGTTTCCAGTGATGGGAATTGCCAAAGTTGCCAGTCCAGTTACAATAAAAAAGGGCATATATGCCGAGCAAAATATTAAATAAAAATAGTCCAGCCAAAATCAACAGCATCCAGAGAAGTACATGAACTGTTTAACCTTAAGAGTCATTCGAAATATTCTACGCTTTTGTGAGTGCTTAAAAAATATTGAAGAGCGGATAACTAAAAAATAACACACACTAATTGTCATACCAAAAATTCTTGATTTAAATTTAATATAACAAAAAAGTATTTTGAAATGTGAATATCATTATCACTACTTATATCAGGTGTTATGAACATATTCGGTATGACGTTTCTGTTATAATCAACAACTAAAGTATGCCGAGCGAAATATTTGATGTTAGCAGTCCTGTTCAATATCTCAGAGTTATCAATTTATCCACACAAATTGTCCAGTCGAAAATGTTTTGCTTGGATTTGAATACAAGTTTCCACAACTGACGTTTTTCGAAATGTAAACAGTCGAAGTTATCGAAATATACATTGTGTACAAGTCACTAACCGGCTACTACAGTAAATCAAATTGTGCAGCTAAAAGGCAACATAAAATGGGAAAGCTAATTGAAAATAGAATTGGGTTAGGTGTGAAGGCCAAGTAAAAGTAATGTTGACAGAGAACATAGAATGAGAACTTAGAGTCCCACATGCGGACATACTCTAGCAACACATATAATAAAATTCATATTTCTTCACACATTATTACGTGTGAATCTTACAGAGAAGTATGCGTACCATCGGTGGTGGAGGAACTGGAGGCGGAGCATATGGAAGAATTAAACGCGGCAGTGTAAAAGCGTTACGCGTCGGAGCCAATGGCAAGCCCATCAGGACAAATAGTCTGTCCAATATTGCAACGTAAGAATCAATTCTCTTATATTAAAATTCTTCTACTACTACTACCACTACTACTAAACTTGAAACAATCGTACATTTCGGGAGATAATGTACAAACATTCCACAAACATGCTAATAACATAATAGTTCAAATGAAAACAATCTCCCGCCTCCTTCCCGTTAAGTGGAATTTCCAAATTATATTAAAACAAACACCACAATTATTCTTCACCATAAAAACAAATAGGATGAATGCTGACCGTGAACTCCTTAAAAGACGTGCTTCACCTGCACCCTTGCGTCGTTCCAACTCTTCGGGCAATTTAGCAAATCGATTGGGGCCACGACGCCCTGTTGTTGGTGGTGCTGCACAACGTGTTGCTAGAAGACGTTTGGATAGACAACGTGGCGGTGTCATTGACAAAAGAGGCAGATCTTTGGCCAGCGGTCGAGGCCGCAGTCGTTCTCGGACACGAGTTCAAGAGAACGGCGGACGTGGCCGTTCTCGGTCCCGTCAAAATAATAATGCAACTGCTGTTGCTCCTCGTGGACGCTCCAGAAGTCGCAGTCGCAACCCTGTTCGCTCACGTTCCCTTAGTCGCAATCGCGGTCGCGATATTAATGCCAAGAAATCTAATCTACCCGTTAAGGCCCGTTTGGGAGTGCGACCAGGCGAAAATGTCAACAATGCCACAAATCAAAGAAACAGAAATAGACGTCGCACATCAAGTCTATCACTGCGCGGTGTGCAAACAGGGCGTGTACAGAAACGACGTAACTCGACTAATGCGACAACCAAAAACAACGGTAGTCCACGTTCAAGGTTAGTAAATATTGTCTTAAATCAATTGTGCGTTTTGTGTTAAGTATCCTATATTTGTTACACCTTTAAGATCTGTCACTCGGAATACAAATGGCCAGAATCAGCGCTCTCGCTCACGTTCTCGGACACGCAAGGGTCAGGTAGGTCAGACAAGAAACGGACAAGGACAATCACCACAAAAGAAGGGCACTGGAGGAGGTCAGACACAACAGAGAGGAGGTCGTGGTCAAGCCCAACCTAAAAGAGGACGTAGTCAACAACGCCGGCGTGGTATTAACAGTGCCCAGAAAGGTAGTAACAATTCCAACAGACGTGGTCGTAGTCGCAGCCGCACAGGAGGTCGTGGAGGTCAACGTTCTCAAGGTAAAAACGACCCATACGTGAGTAACATATTCCGCCTCGGATGCTAACGAAACAAGAACGGCAGGATAACTCAAATTCTATTAAACTAACGCGTTCAAATAGGCCTAAGATTATAACATTTATTTTCTTTGGTAGGTAAAACAACAACAAAGGAAACGGTAAAGAAAGAAGATCTCGATAAGGAACTAGATCAATATATGGCCACCACAAAGACTGAGAATGATATGGATTTTCTATTGAAAAATTAATGGACCCTTAATTGCAGGCGACTGATGAGAAAGGGGGAGTCATCATATCAATATGGACATTTTTTGAATTAGCTCTATTGATGTTTTCGTCGCTCATAGATGTAGTATTAAACAAATTTAGTAGTTTTAATTCAAACCATTTATGCTAATTTTTAAGAAATCATCATTTTTTTACTTGTAATCCATTTGTCACTACTACTCTATATAATCACTTGACTGTAAATACACACTTTAGAATTGTTTTGTTTGCCAGAGAAATAACTCGGCATAACCATTTGGATGAAGAACAGAGTTGTCTTTAAAATAATTGATATTTGAATTTAAAATACATTTAACTACATGTTTAGTTATATACACACAAACATAAAATGTATAAATATAAAACAAATAAATAAATCTATATAAAAAAGTTGTGTCATTGTGGAATTGATGCAAATACGATGGGTTTTTTTTAAATCGTAATGAAAGTCCAAATGGGTATTAAAAGCAACACAAATCGAATGTATAGAAAAAAAATGGTGGTTAGTGCTCTTGAAGTTAGGTTTGATTACTGACGGACAGATGAAGTATGGATAAGACGTAACGAAGGGGTCTTTAAATGCCTGATAAAATGATTAATTGTACCATATTTAGTGCAGTTGGTATTGACGAACGTATAGGCTTAAAAACATTAAATTTGGAATGGATTTTGCCGAGTTATGAAGCGGGTCTGAATGGCCATAAAATTACTACTACATGTCAACTGTATTTATATGGAGATGGATTTTTAGAACATTAATCGATGTTAATTCATACCAAAGGTACTAAATATGGTGCTTTAGGTCTTCATTGATATTTGCGGAAAATAACTGTGAACACTTTTCTAAATATATAGCATCTTTTACACATTACACATGTGGCGTAATAACACAAGCCATAACTGGTGCTTCAGCATCTACATATCGGTATGTATGTTGATACCAATATATTATATGTATGATACGGTGTGCTACTTTAATACAGAGACACAAGAAAATAATAGTCTGATTTTAAGGACATTCATTTTTTTCCATTTGAGCACGTTGAGTCATTGCTCTTTACGTACTGGAATATGACTTTCTGCACAGTGCGTAACATAATGGCGTATATCCTTGTTCATGCATTTTTCACTACTCAACCACTGGCAAATTGAGTCCTTGGCAAATAATGGAATGTTTACTGTTATTGGTTTGGTGGATAAACATGTCTAATTGATGGCATTCATTCTCTGTTTGTCACATTCTTCCGACTGTCGATGACATTGTAACCATTAATGGCAGCTCAAATTCATGGAGATTCTTAGCCTTTATATGCAGTGCTAAGAGATGTGCGTATTTTATGCCAATACAAAGTATTACTTAAGAGCAGTTGGATGGACTTACAATCTGAAAGTGAGAATTTCAATCGATGCGAGATTCAATGGAAACCGTTAACTTTTTGCTTACTTTACACTGAGAAAATAAATGTATTTTCTTAACAATCTAGAGATCTCGTATTTTTAATGTATAGTTTGCACCGATCTTGCCTATAGATTTGAATAGTAAACTTTAGTTCGTGTCATAAATGAAGACTACAAATGTTGAAGAGGCACAATTGACAAAATATATCTGAGAGGGAATACAAACCAAAGCCAAATGCAAAATCGGCGGAAAATTATTTTAAATTATTCTCTATGTTCTTTTTTACAAGAATCAGAGATAATTTTGGTGGTAGAATTCGTACAATTCGAATACGAAGCGATTTAAATAATTTGGACTGTATACACAATTTAGTACTGTACACATGTTTGCCCTCTTCTCTATATTTTTACCAAAAATTTGAATTTTTTAGATTTTTCCCTTGGATTTTTCGTTTGATATGTGTCTTTCATAATCTGGTCTTGACATATAAAATCCAAAGATTATATATGTATCTACTAACAGCATATTAAATATAAGCTCTAAAACATTTTGTTGCCTGTGGGCAACATTGGACCACAAAGGGTTAAACATTGAAACTCCAATGAATTTCAGTCTATGGAACAGCTCTAAATAAAAAATCCATTTGTTTTTTTAATTTTAAAATCAACATTAATTTATTCATAAATTCAGTTTAGGTTAGGTTCAATGATACACCCTGTATTTTTTCACACTACTACAAACATACGTATGTATTACAACTATGTGGTTTTAGATGGCTATATATGATTGTTTTCTTTTCTTATTTAGTTTTATCTAAAACAAAATTGTACAGTACTTAAACTACATACATACAAATAGCTTAATATGTTAAAATAATTAAGTATGGATACATTTTACAAGTGTTACATACTAAAAGGTATATAAGTTGTCCGGATAGGTAATTGCAACGTAAGCTACTATCAGAATCTATGCACATTTATTGCTTGAAAAAATAACAACTGAATTTTTGTTTGTTTAAAAATTCTTAATGCAGTACATTCTCTTTGTCTTTGATAGGTACAGTCGCTCACTCACTCACACCTACTGATATTCACCCTATAATCCTAATAAATGATATATGCATATATGTACGTTTAAATGTATTTATTTTTTCTGTTATTTACATGATGATGGGTGGTGGTGTTCGACCGTTAAGCTCCACATGTCAACAGAGACATCAACATTCATCATCAGTTATGGTGTAACTGCCACGGAATTCGCTTAATGGTGTTGCAACATTGCCACTGGACGAGGAGTTGGTTGGGCCAGCTGCCATTAGGGGGGCGCCCTGGAATGATATGGCCAATGGCAAGGCAGAGGGTGCACACAAACTCAACGCACTGCGTCCCTCTGTCACCGAACGATATCGTGTTGGACGACCAGATCTGCAACGGCGAAACGAAAATATATGAATTAGTAAACAGACAAATGCTGGCATGCAACCATTGGATTTATGAACCCCTCCCAGAACAAAAACAAAAAACCAAAAACCCCAACCCTTCTTACCTTTCACAGTTACACTTGAGTAAACGTATAAATGCTGCTCGGAACGTACGATTGAATATTGTATATATAATGGGGTTAATGGTTGAGGATACATAGCCCAGCCATAGGCAGGTGTTGACCACGTGTTCGGGTACTTCACACTCGGGACAGGCGGCAAATATTATATTCAGTATGAAGAATGGTGACCAGCACAAAACGAACGTGAAGAATACCAAACCCAGGACTTTGGTAGCTTTTTGTTCGGTGGCAACGGCATTGGCTGAGAGACTGTTGCGTTTATTGCGATTGTTGAGGAAGCTGTAACGGTAGATGTAGATAAATATATTAACAGAATATTTATTAATATATATTATACGGAAGAAATCTGGATCAATAGATGGTAGACAAGAATATTTTTAAATGGAAATTATCTTTTTTTCTTCCTGTTAGATCTTTCTAGACTACAAATCTTTAATATGAATGTTCATTTAGATTACACATACAAATTACTTATTAACTTTTGTTGAGATAGTTTGACCGAATATTTGATTTTAAACAACTCTAAATTAAAAATTATAATCATTTAATTAACCCACATACCTCGTCCCACCCATGGTATAATTATTGTTCATGAACAATTTCAGCGACCTCAAGTATGATAATGGTAATACTAAACTATATCAGAAGTAGACCCCTTTAAATAACTCCCGAGTACACACAACCATGTAATTGATGTCAATTTGGAGTTCAATCACTCCTCTTATTTATACAGTCAATTACTCCTGCCTACGATCTTCATGAGTAAATATATACGCCATAGAACAATGACATCTTCAACTTACCGTAAATTTATTGCGGGCGTTGCAACTTTATTGAAATTAAAACGAAATACTTTCAGTCTTCGATTTCGCCGTGTTTCACGGCTAATTGAAGTTGGCGTTTGGGTTCCCTGTTCACAGGTTCCGTTGAAATGATGCTGATGTTGTTGCTGGTGTTGGTGATGATGATAGTGGTTGGGCATACCAATTGTTGCAATACCCATTCCTTCGCCGTGATCCATAACATCGTCGCGACGATTACGACGCAATGAAAAACGCAACGGTTGCATCGTTGTGGCAAGTGTCCCCTTGCCATTGCCTTTGGCACCGAAGAATTCCAACTGGGATTTGTTGTTGGCACTGGTAATGCGCACCGAGGAACGTCGGTTGGGATGGCTGTAAATTGAATTAGAATTTTATTATAATTGTTGTGTCATTTGAATGTGTTGTGTATAGTGTTGTGTATTGTAAATATAAATTATTTTTAGAAATTATACGACGATTTCAGATTTTCTATTGGCGCACCATGAAAAGTTAGAGATACTTTAGACGGTTTAAGTTTTCAGAGTGACAAACTATTTTTTTTTCTTATATGGTTACCGTTTTTTACACCTTAATGTGCAGATTCACTTAAGGGGACCCCCCCCATTCTCGGGGTCAAAATTTTTGTTGATATAATTCGAATCTACACTGATAAAAGAATGTCTCTACAAAATTTCAAGTGAAAATCTCAAGAACTGTTGAAGATATATCCGATTTAGTGTGTCAGCATCAAGTGACGGCTAAAGGGTTTCTCAAACTTTAAACGCGTTTTTCTCTAAACATTTTTTTGCGAATGGCGGGCACGATAACTCAAAAACTAATAATCCAATCGGTTCCAAATTTTGCATCGTTTCTCTGGGAGTGTATAGCTCTCGTATGAACTAGGATAAAGCCAATCGGTGAAGATCTTCCTTATTTTTTAATTTGGTTTTTGGTCAAAAATCGGCGAATTTCCAAAAATATTTTTTCAAAGGTCCACCATTTTGTTAATTTTAGAGCGAAGTCAATAATCCTAGTTCATACGAGAGCCAGACATGTACTCTTTCTAACACTGTTGGAATTTTCGCATTCCGATGTTCCAGTGAGGAGTTATCATGCCCGCCATCAAAAATAAGGACTTTTCTTTAATTACAAAAAACAACAACAAAACAATAACAAAATGTTTTTGTAAATTATTTTTCTTCTTTTTTAAATCTTCAATTATATATGTGCAAAGTTACAAACCTTAACAAGCATTGGTATAGATTTACCAGCCCATTGAAAATCTTAAAAAAATCAAATCGAGAATGGGGGGGGTTCCCTTAAGTTAGCAATAAAATGTTAATGCAAAAATGTAATTGCGTCTGGAGATTGGCAAGACAACTTGCAATTTAATTCTGTTCATGGTTTTAACATGGACTGTCGGCTCCACCAAACTGGACAGCATTTATTAAGCAAGCCATTTAGCAGGAGGGAATTAAATGTGGGTTACCATGTCATAAACTAAATTTTATTTAAATATTAAAGAAATAAATATAAGCAAAAAATATTATAATTGCTTAAAACTAAAAAAATACCAAACTTTTGTAAAAAATAGGTATTTAGATTTATTTTCAATTAAATGTGTTTACATTGGAAATTGCATGAAACATATGTGGGCAGTGTGGCTGGCTGCATGGTTTCCCACTAACAAAATTCACAGGATTTCTCAACTTTTATCATTTTACACTCACATACACAAACACGGCTGTGTCACACAAGACCACCACATCAAAGCAATGCTTCTCAAGTCAAAAACTAGAGACACGAAAATGATTTTAACAACTTAAATTGTTTTAGACAAACAATTGAAGAGCTGAAGAATGAAAATAAAACGAAAAACTAATGATAAGTGCTTTTATTGACAGATATAGGAAAATGTATGGGTCGTTTGGTTTTAACTTCATGGTGGAGGCCGAACTGGTGGAGGCAGTTTTATTGAAATTCATATTGATTGTTTGAATTGAATTGTCATATTATTGTTATTTCTTTTGATTTGATTCGATGGCCAAAATACTTTCAGGCTGTCTGGCTGTGTTGTTTTGTTTTTCATCGATTTCAAGGTCCAAATAAATTGCCAAATGTTTATTTTTCTTATTTTTAGTTTGGAGATGCAATTTTCTTTTTGTCCATGTTAGTATAATGGAAATCTAGTAACTTTGGAAGTACGTTTTTTAACTATGTTCCATTCATTATTGTTTGAATTAATTGTTTTCTTTTTATGTAGGCCTTGAATTAGTTCGACTAAAACCACGAAGTTCCTGGTGGAACGTTGTGAATGGAATCTATAGATGTTGACTATAGATTAATTATTCATTCCATTCAATCTATTCATTCCAATAATCTATATAAAATATCTCTCTCTTTAAGACTTGTATAGATCTTTAGTTTATATATGTATATTAGGTGTTCCTAGTCCACAAAATGGACTAAGGAGATGTTCTACGAGAAATCCTTCTAAAAGCTAATGACTACAAAATATGTTAAATCCCAACCACTATCACCATATATCAATCTCATATTCCTATTGAGAATTCTCTTTAAAAAAATTGTCATAATAGCCAAATGTGTATTAGATTTTTTTTCACGTAAAAAAATTAAGTTCTTTGCCACCAAATTGCCATAGACAATCGGCATCAACATCATGCTGAGAATGTTTTTTTTTTTTTTTTTAGAAAACCTTTCAAACAGACTCATCAATATCTACCATGAACCTGTGCTTGGATATTTTATCTTTTGTTGTCCTTACAAAAACAAAACATTTTGCGCCATCATAATTATTACTTTTGGCCAAATTGTTTGCCAAATTATTGTTTGTACATTGGTGTCGAAGATGCTGATGATGATGATGATTTCGTTACAAAATAGCTTGTGAGAAATTTTCGGCTTATAAACCATTAACCTTGGACTAGTTTATTTAAAAAAAAACAATGCCAAATCCTTTTCCTTTAAAAATGAATTTTAATTTGAAGCCTTTACCTCAGTATTGTTTTAGTTGGTTGGCTCGTAAATTTTTAAGGGTCATAAAAATTCCATTTAAAAATCCCAATGGCCATTGAAATGTTCGTTGGTGTCAATTACAAGCGGCCGTTTCGCCATTAATCTACCATTCAAAAGTCTCGAGTATTTGGCAATATTAAACAGCTGTCATATTGTAAAAGAGGCCCATAAAAGGGTTACAAGCCATTGAACAAGTACTCTCACTCACGCACGCACGCACACATACATTCGAATACGTAAATGCATAGGCATACATGTATGTGTGCATGTGTTACAGAAGTGTCCAGCAACATGTAGGACATTTGTCCGTAATACATTAATCAAATTGATTGCATATTTTTAAAGGCAGTGTTGATATTACACCACTTTTGTATGTCGGCATGTGAGTGGTGGCAGATGACCTTTGTCCTTTTCGTTATTTGGCCATATTATTAAATAATAAAACTTAATATAAGGAATTCAAATTTAAACCTCATAGACAATATTTTCGCAACTTTAAAGAGGATCGATATCACAATACCACGAAAATCTAACTTTATGCTATGCCAAATTCAGAGCCTGAGCAATATTTGAACTCTTTTGACCGATTATAGGTCAACAGCTCCACTTTCGTACCCTGGCATATATTCCAAATCTTGTTTTCCCGCGGTGAATATTTATGGCATAAAATAAACATTTTGATCTCTTTAGGTTTTGGTTCATTTGAAAATTATAGACTTCGTCCTGACCATAAACGGAACTTCATGTAAAATTTCAAAGTTACTAGCGCGACATTTCTTGATCGGACCACTCTCTCTGTGTAAAATTACATTATGTTCGGGACATAACTGTGGCATCTGGAGCAATCATAAAAACAGACAAAGATAAAGCTTTTGGTTCATTTCATGTCCTAAATATTAAAGGATGATTATCGAAAACAATATGGGTCTTCTTTGGTCAGAATCTATCGTCCATTTAAAATTTCGTGACGATTGGTCCATAACCGTGGCCTGGTTTCGGTTGACCGTATAAAATATGTGATGATCTGGATATAAAAATTACCTGTAGAGCGACTAGAAGATCTGACAAAAAATGAAGTTTTCGTTTCATTGCACTCCCTAAATATCATCCCAACATCACCGAAAGTTATATATATTACCGGAACATTATGTAAAATTTCAAAGCTATCAGCGCGAGATTTCTTGATCAGACCACTCACTCTGTGCAAAATTTCATGATGTCGAGCAATCAGAAAAACAGACAAAGATAAAGTTTTTTGTCCATTCCATGCCCTAATATTAACCGATCATTACCAAAAAATAGGGGTCTTCTTTGGACAGAACCAATCATACATGTAAAGTTTTGCGACGATTGGTCCATAACTGTGGCCAGCATCGTGTTTAGAAATTATAATGGACAGATGGACGGACACACATGTCTAGATCGATTCAGCTAGTCGATCAGTATATTTAAAAGGACCAATATTTCGCGGCATTTCAAACTCTTGGGCTGCACAAAGCTATAATAATTTAATTTAATTTAAATTAAATGAGCCATGTGTAATATATCAATTAGAATAGGTCTCTAGATGGCAATGTTTAGGTCTTAAATATATATGATATCTATTATAGATTTTCTAAAAAAGGATAGAAAACCTTTTAAGTAACTTGAAAGGATATTTCAGATAAATCCGAAAGCTTGATCCTTGAAGGTCAGTGTTGTTACGTAGGCCAGTGATTACATTTTTTATGATATTCTGCTTTAACTGTGATATATAAAATGTTACACATTTTGTTTCCGAATTTGCTAATAAATCGAAATCGAACTGCACTAAATGTTTTACTACACTTATTAGATGATGTTAAAGTGACTGCTCTCCACATTCATAATGCAAAATGATATATACTTATTTTTTTTTTTAATTCGCACTAAGAGGTCTCTGTATATATGGTGGAATGATATGTTATTTTTTGAAAATTGGAATAGTATCAGGGTAAACATTTTGATACTACAAACTTCAAATGAAGTCAATCATGTACTTTTTGTACCAAAAAAGGAATTGATTCTAAAAAATCAAATGATCAAATCAAAATATGCGAATATAATAAAGAGACATAAGATCTTGTGTATAGTATAAATGTTCATGTCTTATTCAACATATTTCGGACCGAAGAAGGGTGTCAGATGATATCAGTCATGTAACTTAATGTGAAACATTTAGCTTACAACAGCAACAAAGAATATGAACAACAACTTTCTGCGATTTAATTGTTTGCGAATTACTTTGTTTCGTTTCCACACGAACTACCATGCAATATGACTGTGGTGGCATGACACTTGGCTATTATTCGAAAGATGAGTTGGGAACTAAAACAACACCAGCTATGGTATGTACGTTGCCTCTGGGGCTAAGGCATTCCATTAAGTTTAGTTGAAATACTGTGAAAATTTTTGGCTCTTTTACATGCGTATTTCGAATTGTCATATGTTGTACATTACATTCACCTACATATCCACACATCGAAATTCACATTTGTTTTGAATGCCGTTTCACGAAGATGTGTTTGGGCGTTTTCATTCATGTCTTCAAATATTCACGTGATGCCTGATAAAATTTACGTGAGTGTACGAAAATGCTGGTATATCACTTGAGGGTGGGCCACTGACTGCATTGAGTCACTGTCATTTTGCAGATAAAGAAAGCAAGTCCATTACCAGTAATTTCCAATGCACAGTAGCCTTTTCATGTTGACAAATACGTGCTCTCTCTCTCTCTCCGTTCCATATCCATGGAAATGGTTTTGGCTACGGTATTTGTTGTGGATAACAAAGATTTATTGTAAAATCACAAAAAAACGAAAAAAACCTCTTCCGATGTGTCGCCAAAAAAATAAACAAAGCATATTTTTAATCATTATAATGGAGAAAATCTCTAAACACAAATGCAAATGAAAGGTTTTTAATTATGAATATCTCAAAAAGGATTTCTATAACGCTACTCTCCATATGACCGTTAAAATAATCTTTGATGTTTGGAAAAAATGTCCATTCTTTTTTGTTTGACGAAAGGTAAAATGCAAATCTGTATGTGTGTGTGTGTACCCGAGTTTTGGTAGACATTACAGAATAGACACTATCATTGCCAGCCACCTATTAGTGCCCCGTTAAAGGACTGTTGTTTCTATCCAATTGTCATAATTCAAATGACTGAGTCCTTACAATGAAAGTGTCTCCATCTAAATGTTAACTATTTGCATATGTAAGTGATGGTATTTATGTATATTATAAAAAAATATGAGAGTGTTATATACACTGGGTCAAACAATAATACAGAAAAATAGAACAACTAAAAGCACATAGAAATATTATATAAAATTAAATTAATTTATAATTTTATTATTATTTTATAAACACAAACAAATATTTGTTTTGCATTGTCATACACCCCAATCTGACAATATACAAATAATCTGGAGTTATGCATTTTATATTGAACAGATTTATTGCGTAGCGTATGATTAACGACAATAATCATACAACCAAATTTAAATATTATTCAGATTATCTAATCTAATAATTTTTCCTTTAAATTCCATTACCAAACCACTGTGAGGCATCCTAGAGGTCTTCCCCCAAAAAATGCATTCTAATTTGGAAAACTTAGGTTTTCGTTTTTAAGTGTCATCAGCCTCGTCATCATGCTCGGCACTCGCCCTAAATACGTAACTGCAGTCATATCCTTCTGCATTATTATTATTATTTTGTGCCAGTTTATAAAATGCATTTTGTTGTTGTCAGTTGCATACGGATGGCAGGCTGGCTGGTTGACTGACTCGATTCTCGATTTTTTGTATGCAGTTGGGGTTTTGGTAAAGTTAGGTAAGTGAAATTGCATTTTTATGTGCGAATGCGGTTGTTATTTGCCATCTAAAGCTCTCTCGGGCACAGTCAGTTGCCTGCTGTGTTCTAATACGTGTTCGGCACGTACAGCCAGAGGCAGAGTGTTGCCACTTCATGGGCGAGGAATAAAATTGGCAGAATAAATTGAATTCTCAAATAACAAGGCGAATAAAATGAGTGTTTGCTGGCAAAAAAAGCCTTTGGGGTTCCTTTAGGGGTTTAAATAGTTTGAGGTTATATTTATTCTTCGGGTTTAATTAATTCAAAAATAAATACTAATCTATCACGTAAACCCTTCACAACTATGTTTTTAGAGTCTTATAGCTTTGTGCAGCCCCAAGAGTTTGTAACGCCGCGAAATATTGATTCTAGACCGACCCTTAAGTATACTGATCATATCTCGACTAGTTGAGTCATTCTGTACATGTGTGTCCGTCTGTCCATTATAATTTGTAAACACGTTACAGGCCAATGGACCAATCGTCACGAAATTTTGCATGTAGGAAGGGTTCTGGCCAAAGAATACCCCTTTTTGGTAATGATCGGTTAATATTTAGGACATGAAATCGACCAAAAACTTTACGACCTGAACATTATGAAATTTTGCTCAGAGAGAATGGTCTGACTAAGAAACCAGCATGGATCTTTTCGTGATAATCGGTCAATATGTAGTAGTCCGATTTTTGTGTGAAAGGACATATGTCCGAGAAGTTGCGTGACATATACCCGAGAAGTTGATAGCATATCCAAGAGGAATGGTTGACCTTTAAATTGATACCAATAATATTGGTATGAAATTCTTAGAACGGCTTTTTAGATGATTATCGGTCAATATAACCAAACCTAAAGTGACCAAAATTGTTATTTTAAGGCGTAAATATTCATCTCGGGTAAACAAGATTTGGAAATATGTCAGGGTTCGAAAGTAGATGTGTTGGCCTAAAATCGGTCGAGATATCGCGAAATATTGCCCAGGTTCAGAATATAGAACCGCAGAAAATTAGATTTCCGTGGTAGTTGTGTAGGATATTTCTTAGCAAATGTCTTTTAAGAAAATTTCGAAAATCATGGATTTACGTATAAGTAATACTAAGAAGTATACGCCCCACTGAGTTTTGGCCTTTGGTTTCCACGTCATAATCATGGTCCGTTACTCTATGGTAGAAATATTGAACTTCTCGGACTGAGTACAAAAATTTTTTGAGCAATGTCAAGGTGACAATGTTTTTTGGCCGAAATTTTATATCAATGTTTTTTTCAAAATAAAATAATTGGTTAATATGGAAGTCGTATAATATGGCAACTCTCGCCTGGACATTCCCAGTAAATATTCATTGCATCATTACACTTTCTTGCAAAAATTGAGCTATTTTATTACGTGTATACGAAACACAACATGACGGTAATATTTTGTAGCACAAAACTGTAGACTAGTGTTAATTTTATGGCTGGGTTTTCAATATTTGCTAGGGATTTTTTTGTATGCCATAAAATTGTTACTATTATGATGGAGGGATAAATAAACTGAATTGAAATGTCGAGAAAAAAAAAATCGCAACAGCCGTTACTATCATCCGACCACATCGCCCAACAATAATAGCATCGGCAATGGTTAAAAGTTTGTGGTTTTCCGTTTTCCGTCTGTATTGGCTAAACACGAAGGGGATGTAGGGTTGCTGCATTCCTTCACATGTTTTTTGGCGGTTAGTTTGGTGGTCTAATTGTTTTGCATGGCATAAGGAGAGGAGTAACAAGGAAGGGCCGCGCCATTTAAACCATTTGGCTGTTAAATTTCCTCAACGAAAAAGAGAAACATCAAATTCATGTTTGCAGCATGTTTTAGGAAATCGTGAACCAGCAGCAACTCTTCCATCTAATAAGACATGCGACCCCATGACTGTGAGCTGATGTTGGGTAATGCCCAACTATTCGCCTAATTGTTTTAAATTTAAATTTTGTTAGATATTTTGAAAAATAAATTTTTTGCTAGCATTTTTCTTGTAAATCATTATGGGTAGATTTTACGAATCAATTTGGTTCTTGTCAATATTTATCTATCGGAAATTATCTATAACTTTAACACCTCAATGTTGACAAACGATCAATTTTGCCTTAATAAATGGCTCTTCGTCTTGTCAATGGAAAAAAAGTGGAAGCAAATGTAATTAAGAAATAATTTCCATGTTGATGCTGAGATGTGGATGTGTTCCGGGTGTCCGAACATGTTTCCCTTCCAACATCATTATTCTTGTTCAAATTACTTGGGATTTTTAGTTTTTATTTACTCTCGATTTTATTGAGCATACACTGAGAAAAGTGTAATTTCAAATTATTATTCCCGCAATTTCATGTGAAAAACGTTTTACGGTTTCGTTCCTAGCTATGCAATTGTGTTTTTCCACGGTATCTAACCTATAGCCTTCTTAATTCAAGAACTAAGTGATTCAGTTATTTGATATGAATCCCATTTTCTTGTCAATATTTTGTTCATGTGTAGTTTTTCACTTCGTTATTCACAAGGCAAGACAAGCAACATTCAGTTCTCTCCCACACTTGCCATTGTTCCTAAAGCATAACTTACCTATCCATTAGATTCGCATTACCAGCATGCGATGAACGCCAATAGTTGCCAGTGTCCTGGTGTCCCGTCGTCGACGATGCCGTTTGATGGCTATGCACAGATATGCGTCGTTTATCATTGTTAGAGTAACTGTTGCCGCTGCCACTGCCGATGGCCCCCAGACTGCTGCTACCCACACTACCGGCCGTCGTGGTCGTCGGCACCATCACTTTAAAGTTGCTCGGTTTACTGCGTAAAGATGACGATGATGAATGACGCAAAATTCCACTACGAAAACTTGTACGACAGGTGTTGGTCGTCGTTGTGCTGTGGCCCGAAGTCGTCAGAGGGCCGCCGCCACCACCAATACCACCACAATTGCTGCCATTATTACCATTGGTGAAATTCGTTGATGAATTGCTGCGATGAGCTGTGGATTGCTTTTCGTAGTCGTGACTAAAGTTACGATTCGTGTCGCCGCTGCCCGTTGCACTCCCGCCAAAGCAATATTTACTGAAACTGGAGTTGTTGCTGAAACTACTGTGCATTTGAATTTGCTGCTGTGAATGTTGTGGTCGTATTGTAAAACGACCGCCCAAGCTGTAATTGAGAGTAGAGAACACAGTGAAAAAACAAAATTGAACGAAATTAAAAACTAATCAATTCAATTTCATCAGAGATTAGTTTTATTCAATGAAATTACAACAATAACAAGTCAGTAAATTAACATTAAATTGACTGTTAGAAAATTTGTTCTATGGTTTCCGAATATCAGAATTTCATTTACTGAAATAAATTAAATGATGTATTTAGAAATTACAAACCCAAATGTAATAGAATTTATTTGAAAAAAAAAACTCTCAATATAATAAATGTTTTAAATGAAATCACGAATTGAATTATAAATTTGAAATAATTGATGGTATAGAATGATGAAAAAATAAGCATAAAATGTGAGTATATATTGTTTATATGGCGTATACGTAATGTCCATACTTATACGCCAAATGTTGACCAATGATGCAGAGTATTTTTCGCAAGGTCGGGAGTGTTCATTTTTAACAATTGGTATGGGTTATATAAAGTGAATATAACTAATTATAGTTACTTTATAGGGTCAATCTTCGATGTTGAAAATGGCTGTAATTTTTATTTAGGGTTCCCAATTATAAATTTTTAATTTTCTAACTGTACCCTCATATAGGAAATTATACTTTATAGCTTCAGAGTATTTAAAATCGGTATATGTTAGCTATGAAATCATGTCCTGGAAGTAATATGAATACCATCACTAATACAGTGAATTATTCCGTGATTTCAATAGACGGCATTGATATATGAGCACTACCCTAAATCAAGCACTACAAATGATAAAGATTGTAAACTAACTCAAAATGAAGTTGGGACAGGGATTTTGTCAGTTTTTAAAAGAAGACACATCATGAAACGACGCATGTCGGAACGACACAGAATGGGTCTCTTGAATATCTTTTGTGTCCCCCATAACGTATAAGCAATGACAATGATTATACGCACCCTATTATTATCTCATGAAAATATTGATTCCTGTCACCGTAGTGACAATAAAAAGCGACCTTTAATGAAAACACTGCCCATTATAATTAAGGACATTTAGGCCCATTTGTAAAATGCCAAGTAATTAAAAATTAAATTCCAAGGATTTGTCGCTCAAACTTGCTATTGTTTCAAGATTCGTTCAAGGTTGGCACATGGACAATAACTGTCAAAACTGACACATAGTATAACCAACAATTTACAGCTTTTGTTTTTATCGTTTGGTAATGTGGATAATAAAAAGCACTCCCCAACGACACAAAAACAAAGAGATTCACACACACACACACACACACACTAAGATACTCACCTTTATAGTGAATGTCAACAAGATACACAAACACACACAACCCAAAAATTGAAAGACAAACTTACCGACGAAATAATTCGCTTTCCGGATGTTCGGCAGCAAATCGAGCCTTCTTCCGTAACAATGGAATGGTCAGGGCGTACGTGATTACCATCATGACCATGGGTATGTAGAATGCCACCAGCGAGCCGAACACAAAAAACGCTCGATTGTTTATAACGCAAATATTCGGCTGTGGCATGATATTCTTTTCGTTGACTAGACCTATTGTCAAAAGAACGAGAGAAAAAAGAAACGAAGAAGAAAGAAAGAATGAAATAAAGGAAGAAAAGATTGCAACGTTAATTTATGGGAAAATAAGTCGTTCAATGTAAATTATTGGAGACAGATGTAGCCGCAGTAGAAGCGACAAAGTGTCAGGGGAAAGAATAACTCGTGGTTATATCAACATTCATAGTGGCCAGTAGAACATCCGTGAAGCGGATCAGATCAGTGCCACAAAATAACTACGAAGTTTTTGTTTCTTTCATTTAAAGAATTTAAAAATATAATGGAGAAACATTGGGATGTTCTGTGTTCTGGAATGCTCTGGTTTTAGAATATGCGGAGAAGGCAATAAGATGAAAATCTTGTCCAATGGAAAATATTATAAAGAACAATGTTTTTATTTTGTACTTTCCCAGAAAAAGATTAAAAAATTGTTACGGTAAATTTGAGTTAGTATTACTGTGCCAAAATATCCCAATAAAAATAGAAGTGTGTACTACTCCCCAATACACACTTCGCTTGAAACTTACCCAATACGGTGATGGAACTGGAAACAAGCATGGCCATTAGCCAAACTATGGCAATTTTCATGCCGGCCAAACGTTTCGTTGAACGATGCCGTGAGCCCAATGGATTTCGTATGCCCAGGTAACGACCCAGAGATATGAAACACATGTGCAAGATGCTGGACGAGCAGGCCATTACGTCGCATGTAACGTAAATGTTGCACCACGTAAAACCCAATGGCCAATAGCCTGCAAAGAGAACGAATAAAAAAGAAGAGAAAATACAATGAAGACAATATTGAATAATTCGAAATGCTACTTGGACAAAATATGAATTTAAAGCAAAAATATATGTATGAAAAATATACAGTTTAAAAATAATAGTTCAATTAAGATGCCTAATTGGTCAATTCTTTTACATTGACAGAAGTGGAATATGTGCCATTGATTTATTCTTAGAATGGGTATTTTTTCTTCTCCTAGTCCAAAGCAGTGTTGGGTGCTATTATCATTTGTGTCTGCAATGATGTTTTAAAATATTACGTGCCTCAATGAACTTTGTCATACTTTTGTGTTGGAATTAGGTTTAATTGCCATACGATTATCCGGTAATTTGGCACTGTATGGCAGAACATCAAATGGTGATTAATATAAGAGTTTCGGGCAATTTGTTGCACTTTCAATGGGAGAAACGTTTGTAAAAGAACTCGTTTAGAACTTATATTATTTTTTAAGAGAAGCTGTGGAATGTTAATCATCGAAGAAGGTATTAACAATATAAACTGTCCTCGAGGTTTTTTTTTAATCCACACCACTAGGCACAAAAATATATTTTTGGAATTTATATCTAAGCCTGAAATGACTTCAATCCAATACGCTATGCTATATTTCTTGTAAAGCGAACAGACGACATCGGCTCCTCCAATTGCATAAAATTGGATAAAAATATATGTGGGAGCTATATCTACATCTGAATTCCGATTTCAACAACAAAATGTCGTGCAAATAGAACAGGATATGTGGTGCACCATTTACATAAATGGGACAAAAATATATATGTGATCTATACTAAAATCTGAACCTATTTCAACAAAACTTCACCGATATAAACTTGTAGAAACTTCATTGGCAGTATGGTGTTCAATTTAGATAAAATCGGACGAAACTATATATGGGAGCTATATCTGAAGCTTAACCGATTTTCTATATTTTCTAATTTTTTTTCGTCTTTGGGCCGAATATGTGACCTGTGCGAAATTCCATCCAAATCGGATTATAAATGTTACCTTAATTTTACTTACAAAAATACATGGACGGACGGCCGGGCAGACGGACATGCATACACCGACTCCGAAAAAGATTCTATGCATATTCTCAAAAGGTCAATCTCGTTTCCTTTTCCTGTTACAAACATATGCACAAATACCATGAGAAAATTTATTAATTTTTATATATGTAAGTGAAAAAGTCGGAAAACAAAATGTATGTAAAGGAAATACATACAGATGTACATAAACCCTTTGGGAATTAATTTAGATTTGTGTTGATTCAGCTAAATGTCAAGTTAACACTTTTACATACATACATATATACACCTAATTTTAATGAAGTCAAAATATTTTATAAATTATCAAAACAAGATAAATCTGCATATAATTAAATCATTCCATCCAGTTCCAAATCCTGTGAATTGATGCTTCCCACAAAACCAAATACCAACCAAATCTGCATAAAATCCGACAAATTTATTCATAATACAATATATTTCGAATAATGGTTTGTAATGAAGTGGAGTTCGGACTATAATTACTCTAAAAATTACTATGAAGGATTATAAGTTTCATTCTGCTGATGTGGTTTGGGATTTAATTTGGAAATTTTATTCACAAAGAATAAATTTTTATATAATTGCCATTACCCAGGAAACGTTTGAATGATTTAATTTGGAAGCTTGTTACCTGATGGTGTTATTTTTAAACATTTTACAAAGAAATTTGCATATTTTGTCAACGATATGACACGCTGGCCATTGACTATTAAAATCTGCCCTTGTAATGCTTCATCGTAATTCAGGACTTCGTGCAAAAAATTAATAAAAAATCCAAATACCCATTGAATGGAATTGTCCATGCAGTTGTTTAAGTGTCATTTCCAGGAATCGATTTAAATCCACTGAACAGTAAACGTTTCTATTTGAGGTTTAACTAACACTTTTTTATGCCCTCGAATAGAATAGATGTGTATATTTCTGTAGCTAGAAAACAAAAGATTCAATTTATTTAAATTGGTTTTTGGCAAACAAAACAACAACAACAACAACGAAGCGGCAATTGGGAATTCGGAGAATGAAATCCCCTCATCCCCAAATTCGTGTATGGCCGCTGTTAGAATTTATTGCAGGCAGAAAAAAGAGCGCACGCCATGACCATCCGATGTTCTTCTTGGAAAATGAAAGTACATTGCTACAGAAGCGACAACAACAACAAAAACAAGTCGGTATGTAAATATATTTAGTCTACACAGGGTTACATTATAAAGATTTCAATGTTGAACACATGTAGCTACATAAATATGAAAGTATATTTCGATTTGGAGCGCAGGCACATAAATTCCGATGCAGATAGATGTTTACAGGGTATTCGATTGAAACAGATGTTTGTTTGAATTACTTTTTTAAAGTAAAGTTTAAATTTATCTTAAAGGGAAAAAGTTATTAGACATACACACACACGCACACGCACATATCATTTTGCAATGTAAACAATAAATCTTTAATCGAGGTAAACAAGATTTATATAATTTACATATATTGGGGATGTATGTAAGTATGTATGCTGGGTCGGTTGAAATTTTCGATTACCTAAAATGTAAAATGTGTGGTTATATTTCACAGCATTTATCATATGCAATAAATCCTCTTATATACAATCGTATGTGTTGTATTCAAAAGCCATTTGTTATGGATGCAAATAGTAGTCATTCCCTCTTGAAATTGAGCATGCAATGACCCATATACATATGTGTGTCCATTCCCTGCCATGCGAGATATCAAATTGAATATTCAAATGTTTTTTAAACATTATGACAAATTTAATATCGACTGCATCCTGCAGTGTTCTTTGTCGTTAGTAAACAAATTGACATTTCTTTTGAATATTACTTATTTTCAATTTTGTCCTCCATTTCGGTTGGATGCTATCTCTGGAAAAAGAAGATAGACGAAGACACTCCCGCACGCCCTCACAGCACAGCAGAGCACACAATTACCGACCGAGACTTAGATGCTTCCAATGAAAGGCGACTAAGTAAATGGAAAAATGGCTCAGTGGCAGCATATGGGAATCTATTTGCAACATTAGTTGTGTATTATACGATGTGAACATACATACATACACACATACACATATTCCGACCTCCCTTGCACAATGCAGTAAATGAATGAATTGAATAGTTGAATTTAGAATCGTTTTTATGATTGGAATTTTTGCTATTGAATTGATGTCCTTTCGAAAGTATTAGTCAGACGATGAAGCAGAACTGGAAAACCCCTACTGCTACAACAAAATGGTTGAGTTTCGATTAAAAAAAAAAGATGTAGATAAGGGTAAGCTTGATGATGACCTCTAATTAAGATGATTTATAAAGGGACATCTATACTTTGTTTCATACGAAATATTATGATTTAATGTAAAGTTCGTACCTCTGATATTGTCACGTTAGTATTAAAAAACACGGTGAGCGGAGCATATGATACCCTACACAACCACCAGGAAAATCTACCTTGCTGCGGTTCTATATTCTGAGTTCTGGGCAATATTTGCACCCTCGTGCTATTTGTGTAATTAATACTGTTATCTAAAAATTTGTATATACCTCTCTTTTTGTATATCTCATATATATATATATATATATATATATATATATTTCGAAAATCCTGTAGTGCTTTGAAGATTATTATTGAGTATGAAATATCTCATATAAAAAAATTTACCGTTTACTCCTAATTTTTGGAATTTAGATCCAATTTCAAATATTCGCAACAAGGACAATCGAAATATCTACAACCCTATGTAAAACGTTCTAATCATTTGTTTCAAATTCTTTAATGTTCTCAAAGTAAATTATATACACATCCTTCAAATAGTTGACATCAATTGACTTTTGTCAATATCTGCTTATAGGTTAAGTAATCCTTGTACGACTTTTAAAAACATCAATATTAGTTACATGTTTAAAAAATCAGAAAAAACCGTATTCATTATTGTCACATTTTTATTTCATTCTCATTTATCTCTCTGGCGAATAATATTCCCATAGAAATTCAATTGTTGGCAAATATTGAAGAAGAAAACTATCATCATTACAAACAGGCATTGGACGAACGAACGAACGAACGAAGGGATTACTTCCAACTGCACATACCAGAAAATAAATTCTCAGGAATTTCCGCAAAAATTGTGCTGGTGAAAGCCACCAAAGGATAATATTATATGGCTATTATCACATATTTAATCAAAGCTTGGACTTATGTTATCAATCAGCAAAATCAATACACTCACACTCATATATATATATATATATATTTATATATAGAAATGCCATTCACGTCCTCAATCTAGTTTTCGATTTCTTTGGATTTAGAAGTTTGTTTGGTTTGTTTGTGTGTTAGTTCGATATTAGATTTCCTGATAATATTTCTGTCCAAAACTTTTATCCCTTTTACCAAATGTGGATATTCACATTCATATCCACACGCACACACACGCACACTCATGCACTTATTTAACATCTGCATGGTCGGATAATAGAATACTGTGAAACCGTAATACCTACGAATGATACTTTCCACAAAAGTTACTTTAGTGTTGGTGTTGTTGTAGTCCATTCGAATAAATGGGGAAAAAGTTCGTCTACAAAACGGCAAAGTTGATGATGAGACTGTCCAACATTAGATTTTGGCGTGTGTAAAATTAATAAATATTTATGGATGTCCATAATTGTGCAAATGTTTTTGTAAAAGGGTAGATATGGTGAGAGTGATAGGAACATGAGCAGTGTTTTAAAAAGTAATCCTCCTAGGGTTTTTTTGTATTGAAAGTGGGATACAGTCTAGGTTTTGGATCGAAAGTATTTGTAGAAAAATTTCAGGAATGTCCCTCTTTGTTGTCTTTGGCGTTGTCATAAAATGTAGGCCCTTCATGCGAAGACAATTCTTGCTTGGGATTCCAACAATTGTTCTGTACGGATTCTTAATAATCTAAGTGATTCAAATGAGCTGTGATTTGGTAATTCGTATTTCCAGTGGTTCTAAATTTTTCGGTATGACTAATGTGTTGACTAAATGTTTCTGATATTTGATTTGAGAACTATTTACAGAAGATTACACAATATGTAAAAATATAAATCCCTCTTGGGGCTTCAATTCAAACACCCAATAGAAGGAATTTCCAACATTCAAAGTCGTTCTCCAAGTGGAGTTACAATAAAATTCACACAGTTATATATCGTATCCTGATATATTTTTTTCAACTTTTTAATTCGATTGGAAAAATTCCGTGTACTGAATTTATGGATGACAATAAATTTTATTGCTGTTAGAACAATTAAGTAAATAAATTAAATTAAAATTTTGCCTTAACTTTACATAATTTCTCTCGCATTTCGTCTCTCTCACTCCTCTCCCACACACAAACACACCGTTAGATACCTCAACTCTGCTACAAATCTCGACTTTAATTAATGACAGGTGTCCGACGAACAATAGCCACCAACCAATTCTCGCCGTACAAATTTCTATCATTCAAATGGACACGAGTAGACCATGGAGACGACATTCGTGCTTCCATTAGTGAGTGTGCATGCCTTTGGCATTGGTGTGTGAGTGGATTATTGCCTGACATAACATGGAAAAATACTTTCATTATTCTTCTGTCCGGCATCATATTTCAAATCCGAGCTGTCTTTCTACAAATTAATTTGCCAACATCCTCTTTTCATTTAGGAAATTGTCGGGCACTCGAATAGGGCCATGGCGAGGAACATAAATATTTTGATTTTCTTTTGTTTGTTGGGATCCGACGAGCACACATACAGACACACACACACACACTCATACTTACATAGGTGTTAAGGTCAATTGTGAGTTGTAGGATTGAGGACAAGCCATTTATATCCGTTTGTAATTTTTTGGCACATTTTAAGTTCGTTTGTAAGTGTGTGTATGTCGTATTACTAAGCCTCGTATGTAGGCGAGTGAACAGTGTCACTGTGTGTAAAAGTATGCCACCATAATCATTTATTTCATGGTAGCAAGATTTTGAAAAATCCTCATTTTACTCCTCTCCCCATCAATGGATTCCCCAACTAATGATCGACTTCCAAGGGGTGGAGTAGAACTTTGAAAAGATTACCTTTATGGTGACCATGTTGTTGTTGTCGTTGTTTCTTCTTTGTTCGAATGCCTATGTGAGTGTGTAAGTGACTCCATTTAGAAAAACAGGCAACTTGAGACCATTAACCAAACCTTTCATTCAATGGTCAATGATAGAGAATATTATTCGGCAAACAATTCCCCCATCCGCCTGACCTTTTGTTCGTATTTTTGGTATTTTATAAAATACTTAATGGAGTGCTTAAATGCTACCCCTACCCCTTTTGGCCAAAAAGAAAATGAAAAAAGAAAAACATTGTATTATTCAAGACCTCTGTAGATGTTGTCATTATTATTATTGTTATGGGAGGATGGCTTTAAACAAAACAATACATTCCTCTTTTCTTCTTTTTTTTTTTTTTGAAAAATCAATAAGAAATCCATTAATTTGTTTAGAATATCCCATTTGTAGCTGAGCAGACAAAAGGAAATTTTTGGGTGCCTGGACACAAACACTCATATGTGTTTGTGTTGGTTTTTCTTTTAAAAATGCATGTTCCTTTTTAAATCCATTTTGTTGGCGTTGGAATTCCATTCCAATTTGGTGGCGATCGACCTTTTTGTTGTTTTTAATGTCGCCTTCGCTTTGGCTTACGGAATTCTCAAATTCGATTTAAATTATTTCGCATTACGCCTGTGGATTTGCATTAAGGAAAATCAAAAACAAGTGAGAGAGGCTATTGCCGGTCGTATTGGCTATTTGATATGCAGGATATGTGTCTTTTCGTACAGAATATGTAAACGAGTAGTGTGGGGTACATTGTTTTAAAACATTTGGATTTCGAATTCGTTTCTAGGGTCCTGTATTTCCTCAGTCCACATTTTCTTCCGTACAAAAAATCTATTGTAGGGTAGTAAATAGTTCTCATTTTAATTTTTACCATCGCCAACACCAACAACAACACTAAGAAGAATGGAAAACAACAAAACCAATGCTGTCTGTGCCAATATCAACAAAATGTCGAAATAAATTTTCGTCTTTTGTTTTTTAAAGTTTCTCCTTTTGTTTGTAACTTTTTTGTTTGGTTTTGGAAAGGGTTATTGCGGTGGAGGAGTCGGCCGAGAGAAAAGTGCCAAGGATAAAAGTTTTGCACTTTGTTGGGGATTCAAATTGGTTCTGGTTTCTGCGGAGTCCAGTGAAAAGGCGTTAAATTTATTTGGCACTTTAATGAATACTTAAGCCGACAGTAAAATCGAATCGAATCGCATGGAAGTTGTCCCCATTATGTCCCTGAAATGTGAATGTGCCATTGAGTCGAATGTATTGGTCATAAACGTGGAAACAGGAAATCAAATTAAAAAGAAAAGAAAACAATTAGGAAAACATTAGAACCGAATTACAGAATAACAGTTTGTTGGGCGTTTTATTGGGGTACTCGAGCAAATTCTACTCGGATGATAAATGGCTTGGCAAATTTGAGCTGTAAAATTAGAGAAAAAGGCGTAAGAAAATGTTAATTGGCATGAGCCGTAAATGTAGGGGAATTTAGGTAAGGCATTTAGTACTTTAGGGAGACGAGGATTTTTATTTTAAAATTGGGCAAAGGTCGTTGTTTTTGTATTACATCAAAAATATGTATATTTTCATTAATTAGATATTTTTTTTTATTTCGGTTGATATTCTAATTCGGAAAGATGTTCGAGCCATAAGGTAACCCTGTCGCAAATCTCAGATCGTAATGATATTGTTTTCATTGCATTTATTATTGTTTTAAAACAATTTGTTTTTATATACACAAATCAGTCTTAACTTGTGGATAATAAAATATTTCAATGCATAAAAAAACTTACCCAAAAAAGCTGGTATCGCGCCCAGCGGCATCACAAACAAGCTAACCAGCAGATCAGCCACCGCCAATGAAAATAGAAAATAATTGGTAACATTCTGCAAGCGACGATCCAAGGCGACAGCCAGACACACCAAAATATTACCCAAACCACCGGCAAATATAAAAAAGAGGACAAACAGAAATCCCCAATCGAAACCTTTTACCGGTGGCGTTGCACTACTAATCAGATCACCATGCCAATCCGAACCGTTGATGCTATCGGGAAATGTTGTCAACGATGAGTTCACAGCCAGTGTTGAATTGAGCAACGACAGACTCCAAGGCCATAAATCATCGTTCCATGTGGTGGTGCTGGTGGTGTTTGTTGTTGTCGCCGTTCCATGAGCCCAACTGCTAGCATTGAGAAATGTTTGCGACGAAGACTGTTCGCTCCACGCTGGCAGGCTGTCATGTAAAGATTCGAATGATGCTTTTGCCATTTCGGGCAAGTTTTGAAATACAAAACATCGAACATTATTGCTTAGCGTTGCAGGCGTGGAGGGGGAGACCGTTGAGAAAACAGAAACAGGGGTCTTGTCACAGAACATTGTGTACTGGGGACAGAGGCGGGTAGAATCACTGAGCATCACTGTATCATTGTAATTTTCATTAATACTTGCTGGTGTGGTTATTGTTGTTGTAATACTAGTTGTTGTCATAGTTTCATCCATGTTCATCATATGATGAAGACGATGATGTGAATGGTGTCCTTGTGGATGTGGTGGATACTTAAAGGACATTTGGAATTCTTGAAGTGGTTGTTGCAAATCATCGACAATTACTTTCAAACGTTCCACACATTTTTGCACGAACTCCGCTGTCGATGAGGACGAAGATGACGACATAGATGATGATGACGGCGATGGGGCAGGGTTGGGGACGAGGGAAGGAGACAACTGATTTGATTCCTGTGGCATTTCAATGTGGTGTTTGCTGGATAACACCGGTATTGTATTAAGGCAGCTGTAATGAGTTGTTGTTGGTGTTGTGGGCGATGTCGATGGCGTTGCTGCAGTTGTGGAAGTTTCGAGTATACAACGGAATGTGTGAAACAATTTCGATTTTGAACCCCCTTCCCCTGACATCCATTCGTCGATGTTATCGTGGGTGGGGTACGCTGTAGTTTCGGTGATTTGGTTTTGGGCTTCTTCACACCAAACGTGGGGCAGAACTTTTTCATTTTTGTTCTCGTCTGTGGTACCTGGACTGAAACCTCGCCAACAAAAGGAATCATACATTCTTTCAATATTCCCCGCACTGGTGTTGGTGTCGGTGTTGCTATTGTATTCGCTTTGTGGTGTTGCTGACAATGTGGTTTTTGTTGTTGCTGCTGCTGCCGTCGTTGTTGTATTGGTGGTTGTGGCACTGTCACTGACATTTGTTGCGGTTGGTCGAAGACCAAGCCTTTGTTGCAAATCCATTTCATTCTAAAGCAGTTTGACAAGCTCTGAACTAGACTTTCGTTGCGTTCAGCAATGTTGGCCGTCGTCTTCTTCTTCAGTTCCTGTGCGACTCGCAGATTTTCTGTAATGGAAAAAAATAGTCAACCACTTGAAATTGCAATTAAAATGTTTTGGTAGATTTATTGCCTTTCGATGACATCTAAACCATGGATCAGACGTTAGCCATCTGACATAATTAATTTGTGGTCGGTCACAAATCATTGAACCGTTTTGTGCGGTCCTTTGTGGTTTGCAACGTTATTTGGTGATTTATGTTAATTTGTTATGAATACCAGTTTTCGATTTAACAAAAAAGGTTCGCATTTTCATTGGAAAAGTAACAAAATCTCAATCAGATTAAATTAATTGTATGCCTAGGCAGTAAATGCCTGCAGGGGTGGTGAGTGAAGTGAAGTGGCCGATGATGTTGTGAATAATTTTGTGGTTATACTTTCTGACATTCCAGAATTAATCATTCGCATCTCTATTTGCCACTACCAAAATTTTGCTTGTCATTTGTTATTTTTTGGGAAACTGTTTGAATTTTGATCGACAGAAGGTAAAAATGGAGATTAGTTTATTAATGATATTTTTATGAATGAAGGAACCTGACAGAACAAATACAGGAAACTCCAAAATAGTGCGAACTATTATTTTCAAAAAAAAAAAAAAAAAAAAAAATACACACAAATGTTACCTTCAGAAATATGTCTCCATTAAATGTAGGTTTTAAACTTGAATGTCTTTTGACCCAACCATTTCTAAAAAAATTTGGAGACTATTTAGTCAACGTCTGCTGTCTATGTTGCTTATCGGATCACTCCTCTCCAAGAAAATGGTCATAATTTGGTACACAAAATATGTGAGTGAAATAATCTCATTAATACCGACCCCTACACAAGATAACCATTTTGATAAATCCTAGACCATTTTCGAAGATAGACTATCGAACCACACATTCTGGTCACAACATTTTGAAATTGTTAGACTACGACTACAATTTTTAACAAAGCATATAGTAATACTTTTTAAAAATTGAGATAATCTAAGGCAAAATATGACTTATTGACTTTACTATTTTTGCCCCTGACCAAAAAGTGGATATTTTGGATCTTTCTGTGCTCTCAAATCTTTTATTGATTTTCGATTTTTGTTGAGCATATTTTATTTATAAAATAGTAACAAGTAAAAAGGTGTCTGTCGTTGTTGCCGACTGACGATATATACCTCAACCTTTGGTTTGCGGAGGTCTTCGAAATTACACAGGTTTTATTATCCGTTTTATATATGGAATATATTTTTATCAAAGTGATGCCAGATTTAATGATGATCAAATCGGTTCTCCAATTCGCTTCAAATTAAATTTGCAAGTATATAAAATATTGACCCTTTTTGGGTCCCATCTGTGGACTAGATCTAGGCTTGGTAAAGACAATAGGATGTGCAAAATTTGGTTAAAATCGGAAATTCCATTCGCCAGATATTGGATTTATAAAAATTGAAAATTTTTATCATTGGGAATGGGAGGTACAAAAATGAGTGCACCAATGGGTTCCATATTCTGACTTGATCTAGGCTTGGTAAATATATTAGGTTGTACAAAGTTTAGTTAAAATCGGTTCGAATGATATTATAAAATAAATCTTTAGCACAACTTTGACATTTTGTGGGGGAGGTAACAGAAGGAGTGGGCAAAATTGGGATGAAATTGTGAGTTATCGTGCGCACCAGCCGGCCAGACAGACGGACGGAAATTTGGTATTTGTGTGCAAAGAAACTTGGGGTCTAAAAACAATACTTCAATGAGGCTCATCAAAGTATATATATGCCCTCATTAGGCATAAGGCTGAGAGATAAAAATGTCACGCAGGTGGGGGGCTAATGGTAAATAACTTTCGGCATTAACGACTGAGACATTCCAGTTAGTTGCTAACTACACTTGAGCTCCAACATGCGATGTTGCATTGGTTTAAGTAAGTAAAATTTCAGTGCAATTAATATGGGAAGAGGTGAAGAAGATATGCATCGCATTTCTCCGGTCCTCATTAGCGACGCTAGCCGTTGTACATGAGTGCATTCCGCCTTTAAGGGTTTAATTTTTTAATATAATTTCTTTAATACATGGCGTCTGATTTCTCCAATAATTTTTTTTGTGGAAATTTTTAATATCTTTGTGGTGATTTTCCCATTTCTTTTAAGATTTTCCGATACTACATTTCTTACATTCTACTCTTGTGATAAACATATGCCTGTAGTCTACTTTAAGGAAATAGTACTCATAGCATTTCCTTTTATCGATTTGTTTTTCCGAAGAAAAGTCATCTTTATTTCGACGCACGTTTAAAAAATTCAATAATTAATAATTCAATATATTTGTTTCATAAAAAAACAACAAGATTTATTGGTAATATTTATTTTCAGTTCATGAGGACAACTTCTATCACAATAAAATTTCGGGGAAATCTTTTCTAGTTTTTTTTATGGCCATACGAGCTGTGTGTGTGTGCTTGTGATTCATTATAGCAAAATCAATGGCTTTGATGGAGCTGGCGATGATGATGTGGAGGAGAACAGACATTTCCACTAATTGACGACAACATTGCCGAAAATGCAAATTTTCATCCAATCATTGAGGCGATCTGCCACCGAGTTAGTGTCGGTGTTGTTGTTTGCCGTTCTAATGCTATTAACGAAGCTACTAATTGTCCACCCCAAAAAGAGTCAGGGAAACATACAATTAATGAGCTTTGCTATCCTACCAAATGGCAAAAACATAAAAATGCTTTGAAATTGAGATATGAAAGAAGCAACAACTACAACAACATGACATGAGGTTATGTAAATTATTTTAATTTGGGAATAATTTAAAACATTTCGAGTGCATAATGAATGAATGAACGAATGATGAATGGAAGTCGGCCAGGCTGGCAGGCAGGCTGATTGGGTAACTGAATAACTAGTTGGCAACCTGTTTGTCTAATATATTGTGCACAGTGTTTCGAAAGGCAGGAACATTTTGAAATTCCTGTAAATTTGAAAAAATAAATCTTTTGCTTTATCGCTTGAGGGAAAATGAAATATTTTTACCACATATAAATAGGGGAATTACAAGAAGGAAGTAAGAATATTTCAAAACATCAAAACAGAAAACTGATAATGCCAAAACTACAGTCTAGATAAATCAAAAAAAAAAAATTCAACAGAAAATACTGTGCCAGTTTCGCTATCTCTCTCCGGCTCATATTCTGAGACTAGTGGAGGCCTCAATTTCTCTATTGGAGGCTCATTTCTGTTTTTGGACAATGGCACGTTTTGTCCATCATTCGTTTGCCATTGTTCTGTCAATCATAACCAGTTCAGTAATGAATGCTCTGGCGTGCCAATAACAGATATTTGCATGTTGGCATTTCCATGTAAAGACCATGTAAAAATGGAAAGGAGGTGGTAGAGGTGCGGATATGCGGCAATTTTTATTATAAATGAAAATATCTAAATAGTTTGTTTGAATTGTTTTTTTTTGCTGCCCATTCTAAATTTGGTCATAATTTGTGATGCTTAATTTGTTGTAACAAAAAATTGCATATTAAGCACAAAAACAACAACAACAAGTTGATGAAAAATTACTTCATTATACCTGGCAAATGGTCACCGTGGTTGTTGTTTTTTTTTTCATTTTGTTAAAAAAAAATAATTAATTACTCGTGTAATGAGTGTGGAACGCCGTTTAGTGTAATCACTCAATGTCATTTGGGATCTGCGTATAATGGCCCTTGCTACCCATCGTTGTGTCCCTCCTGCAAGTAGTTGTTGGATGCCGCCACCCCTACTCAGCACTTGTCATTTTTATAGTTCCTACTTGGCGTATTTGTTGTTGTTTATTAAATAAAAATGGTTTGTTGTTGTAGTTGATATTCTTATTTATGTATTGTGTGAGGAGAATTATTAAAAAAACAACAACAAATAACAATTGAAAAAAAACAATTGTTGAAGTGTTTTTCAGTTGGGTACATTGGATGCGGACAGACCACTTGTGGCGCCCCTACAAAATTATGAATGTAAAAGGGTTAGGAAAACAAATGAGGGGAAATTAGTTTGTTTGTAAAACGGGTGTAGATGTCCGTATTCCAAAAGACCATATAGCCTTGCAAAGGTACCTGTGGTGTTAAACCCCATCTTGTATGTTTGACATAGCTGATCATTTGGTGTGGTAAAGATGATATTGCTTACAACGACTATAGATCGCAGGTCCCATGACCGCCATTATAAGTGATTTCGACTGTATTTTTTCTGATACCACTCTAGCCAGGCTGATGCCGTTTTCTTGTATTGAAAACATGCGATCGCGTGCAGCAATCTTCTACCATGTGTTGTGGGGTTGAATACAAGGAGGAGGTCTACTTCGAAGTTGGGTTTCATCGGTCCAGCCTATGAGCAATTTTTTATCCCTTGGTCATTGACTATTTTTATGTTTATTATTTTTATTGTTCGATGCAACAATCACCATTCCAATGCAAGGTAGCGCACCCATTCCCTATCACCCACCACCTTGTCACCCATCAACGTAACAACAGAAAATATATATTTGAAATTCAATACCCGCGAATAAATATTCTATGCTGAACGTTTATTTTTTTTCCTACACGCTTCAGACGCTTTGATGACGTTCTTGACATGTAGTGGAAATGTAAACAAAATAATTCGTCTTCGTTGACGTGGCAGGGTGGGTGAGACATGGTGTTGGTGTTAAAACTGTCGTCGTTGTTCACATTATGCCGAGTGGAAAATTAAATCGAGCATTTGAACAAAATAGAATGAAACAAAGACTTTGTATGAACTACGACTATGCATGAGTAGTGTGTTTAGGTGTATGGGTGAGTGTGTGTGTGTGCGAGTATGAAACAATGACGACGACAGTCTTTTGGGCTCAAGAAGACCATGACGGTTTTATGCGACACATTTGTTACGATCGAATTGAAATTGACAAGAAATTCATTTGGATTTGATGTGTTGGTGCTGTTGTTGTA